TTCACTAAATTTAGTGGATGGCACTTTATGTTTATTTATAGGGCAGTCTGGCATCTTAAAAACCAATAGGAGTGGTAAAAACTTTTAAATGAATCTGTGTCCTCTGTGCTTCACAAAACACTAGTGGGACTATATAGGGCATGAATATTAACAAAAGTAAAAACTAGATTTTCTCCACTAATGAAACAAAAGTGACCCCAAACAGCAATTAACTAAAACATTATTTCTGTTTGACATTACAGCACATTATAATTGCAAGTGGGCAGCAGAGCTTAGGAATGAAGAGCCTGGGCCTTGAAGTCAGCATGCTCTGAATGTGGCTCCAACTCGGGCTTGGGGAAGTTACTGAAGCAAAGAGGTTACGTTTCTCTACCTGCAAATGGGGAGAGCAGCAGCTCCTGCCTCAGAGGGCTGCCGTTAACGATAGATTAAGAAGTGGTACAATGTGAACTGCAGAGCATGCTGGAAGCAGGCAGCCTTTTCTAGGCTGCTTAGGCAAATGGCTCCAATGCTTCTGTGTTCTCTGAATGAAGTAAGGCACAGAGTTTAGGAAGAGATGCCCCACAGAAATCGGCTGGGAAGGATTTTGCTAAGAAAAATGCACATGCATATAATTCTGATCATTCTATTATAATAACTACTACTGACATACTGACTCAGAGAAAAATTTGTTCTGCTATTAGAATCCCTCGTTTTTTAGAATGCTAATGCCTGGATTTCAGCTTTAACATTTCTACTATTTAATCTTTACAAATGAGGTCACGTAGAGAAAAGGAAATGCTTATATACTGTTGCTAGGAATGTAAATTAGTATAGCCTCTATGGAAAACAGTATGGAGGTTCTTTAAAGAACTACAAGTAGAGCTACCATTCAATCCAGCAATCCCACTACTGGGCATCTACCCAAAGCAAAAGAAGTCATCATATAAAAAGACACCTGCACTCAAATGTTTACCCAGCACTATTCACAACAGTAAAGATATGGAATCAATGTAAGTGTCGGTCAGTGGATGACTGGATAAAGAAGTTGTGGTATATATACACAGCGAAATATTACTCAGCTATAAACAAAGAATGGAATCATGTATTTTGCAGCAACAGGGATGGAACTGGAGGCCACTATCTTAAGTGAAACAACACTGAAACAGAAAATCAAATACCACATGTTCTCACTTATAAGCAGGAGCTAAATAATGTATATCCAGGGACACAGAATGTGGAATAACAGATACTGGAGACCTGGAAGGGTGAGAGGGGAATAAGGGATGAGAAATACTGGTTACAATGTATATTATTTGTGGTGATGACTTAACATTGTAAGTCCAGACTTTACCACTATGCAATATATCTATGTATCAAAATTGCAACTGTAGCTCCTACATTTATATAAATTTCATAATCATATAAATATTTGTATATATATTTATGATATATGCAAATTTATATATATAGAAAAGCTAACCTTGGTTCTCTAGCTTTTGTCAAGCCGCCTCAAGATACACACACACACACACACACACACACACAAACACACACACGAAATTAAGTTGCCTTGATTTCTTATACAGGAAATTGATTTCACATATATACATAAATCAATTTCATATACATAGATATGAAATCAAGGCAACTTGACATAAGCTAGAGAAGCAAGGTTAGCTAAAAAGGATGAAGTTTTAGGTGGGGCAAGATACCCCATGATTCTCTGGGTCGTCAAAGCGTCGTCAAAGCATGGTTTATATATCTGACCTTTGGAAACAGAGATGCTTTTATCAGGAACACTGCTTCTCGAAGGATCTTCATGTGTGCTGTGATAACTTCTCATTCACTCACCTGTCTGCCCACCCAGTCACGGAGTACCTACTATGTGTCAGGTTTGTGTGGTAGACGCTAAAGTATAACGTTAGAGTTCTGTTATTCAAATAGAAGTCAAATAGAGTTCAAATATTAAGACTAATTTGGTGCTCACTGCACAATAAAATGACAAGATAAACTAAAGACTAGAGCTAAATTCTGAAGTTTCTAATCATTTGTAGGGGAAGTGTGTGGGGTGGGCCTGGGCATAATGCTTAATTTAATAAGCAATCCGAAGGCACGGAGCACAGTGTCGCAGCTCTGCAAAGCACACCTCCACCACTGCTATTTATTTAATGAATACTCCTGGGCACTCTTTAAATTGAAAGATGGTTCATTAGATTTGTGCATCTGCCCTTCTCAGCAATCTGTTGTGTTTCTGATGAAGGCAGGAAAAAACATGAACATACCATTTTCGGGTATGTTATGAGTAACGCAGCTTCCAATGATTACAAAGTCATAAAGAACTCAGGCTGCCTAATTTCAGGAAAACAATTTGTCTGAATCATTCTCTTTCCATTCCTATCTCATTCTAATCTCACTTATCTTGGAAATTTTAAATACTAGCCCTTTAAAGGAAAAATACTAATCACCCAATACATTATCTGTAAGCCATAAAAATAAGCACGTTTTTAAGGTATCAAGAAAAAAAAAAGTCCTTTCAAAAATGGCCAAAAAATTCACCCTTTTTGTCCCAATCAAGTTAACCACTAAGTCTTGTGGGCCCTGATCCTGCACTATACATCTACCTAGTGTAATCTGTCCTGGGGGCTGGTAATTGTAGTGGGGTGTATGTGTGTGTGCACATGCATGTGTGTGTATGTGTGTATATAAATTCTTGGAAGGCAAAAACAAACAAACAAAAAATCTTTTGTTTCTGTATCCGTACGTGCTATACAGAAGATGCTAATAAAAGTGCTGAACTAGGCTGGGTGTGGTGGCTCACACCTGTAATCCCAGCACTCTGAGACGCAGAGGCAGGAGGATCACTTGAGGCCAGGAGTTCAACCAGCCTGGCCAACATGGCAAAACCGTCTACTAAATACAAAAACGTAGCCAGGCGTGGTGGCGCATGCCTGTAATCCCAGCTACTCGGGAGGCTGTGGTGGGAGGATCGCCTGAACCTGGGAGGTGGAGGTTGCAGTAAGCCAAGGTCATGGTACTGCACTCCAGCCTGGGCAACAGAGTAGAGACTCTGTTTTCCTGCTGCCAAAAAAAAAAAAAGTTCTGAACTGCATAATTGAAGGTAGGTTTCCCTATACAGGGCTTTAAACTATTAAAACATAGACTCACTCATTTGCCAGCGCCTAGCAAACACCTATTTAATGCCTATTAGGTTTGGTACCATGCAGGACCCATGAATGAAGACAAGGACACAAACACAAATATAAAAATGTCCCTGCCCTCATGGAGCTTATGCTCAGTGAGGTGAGGAGCTGTCCTCATCACCCCTCATCAATGGCTGAGAGTGACAATCCTATAGACATGCCCTCTGAAGGGGGCATAGATTCTCATACAGTGCCTTGAACAGAAACAGCTGTATTCTTGAGTGGAGATTCTGAAAGTTTCTAACACTCTCTTATGGAGACAGCGAATACACACACACACACACACACACACACACACACAAATTAATGTTATATTAGTGGATTTCTCTCTGAAATCACATTTTGTACAAAGAAACCTTGGCTTCTTGGTTAATCATACACTACCTCAAAGGCTTGGCTTCACCTCCTGCCAAGTGGAGGGAGGTAACTTAAGTCTTTGAGGCTGAGTAGTCTTGGTCCCTTCCCCCCATCTCCTATGTAATTTCACAAATCGTAATAAAATGTAGGGCTGGGATTCAGAGTTCATTTCAAGTAGGTTGGAAACTCAATGTCAAGATGGTGGGGAAGGTGTATAAGACTAAAACGTAGTTTTGTTACATCAACCTAGGAAAAATACATGAATTGTAAGAGGCTTTGGGTTATGAGGTGCTCTGTACGGAACACTGACTGAGTCATAGTCAAAGTGCAGCATTAAGCACGGCTGATGTGCGTGTCTGTACTGAGTAACACAGAAGATGAAGCAGTTCTTGCCTTCAAGATGCTGAGCAACATACACTAATAAGTACTTAAAAGACAGTGATGTAATTGCCAGAGAGGTAAGAAGAAGATAAAACAGCAGCCCATAGGAGACAGTGACCAACTCTGCTTCTCCAAGTAGCTTGTATCAGGATGATAAAGAGAATCCATCATTGAACACACATCTGACTGCCTATGCTGTACTGTAAATACTACGATACTGTGATTCAAAATGTATAAATAGACACATAAATATGTATATTCCAGCAGCCCAATGTAGTTATGATTGGCCATCTAAAAAGCAAAAATTGAGAGTTTCCAGAGATCCTGCTGCCCCTAAAACGAGTGTGGCATATACTGATTTCCTGGAAGACGCAGCAACAAAACTTCCCGCTTCCTTCCTAACAGACAAGATGACAACTGTGACAAAATGCTACACTCACCAATGCTGCATCACTTCAATGCTGTCATAACAAAGAAAACCACGCAGCCCCAAGCAGCTTCGAAAAGGACGGAAAATCCCTAAGCAGATCTCAACTGTGTCAGGCTCTCCATGGCCCATCAGACGCAGCCTCAGGCCTCAAAGGGCTGATACTTTTAGTCAGAGTTTTCGGCATTTTGTATGGAATAAACGTTTTCTTCTGAAATTGGCAAAACAACTAGCTGGCTTTTGAGAACCCAACATCCTGCCAGCCCTGTCATGGTTCGATACTGCCAGACATCTAGAAGCCCTATACATTGATTTTCTTTTGTCCTTCAGACACATGGGAAAAACTTATCCATAACATTTGGACAGTCTTCAAGAAGTCGCCACAGCTTCTGTGGGCAGGTGTTCATTTCTACACTGAACAAATGACTAACATGAGACTGTGGTTCTCTCCTGGTTGTATGAGGAGCATTTACCATAAAGCGTAATGAGCAAAGGTTACTACACCTTATTCTTCTCAGTAACATCTACAGTCCAACCCAAGAAATGTGCCCACTCCACTTAGAGCCCATGGCAGCCTGTGTGTGCTGGGGCTTCTGTAGGGCACTGCTAACTCTGCTGAACCGGGACTGTCTTGGCATCGGATTGAGACCTACCAGCAAAGTGAAGCTGTGTTCCGGCAGCATCCCATACTGTTGGACAAGCCTCTCTCGGGTCACGCTGGGAAGCTCTGGGAGTGTCTCCCGGATCTGGTCGATGTTGATCACTTGCTGTGGGTCTGCACCTGTGGGCAGAGATGTGGCGTCGTAGAGCAGGAGGGGAGGCAGGTTAGGTTCCGGCATAAACCTGGGCAGACAAAGGAGAAGGGACCTGAATCCGGAGTCCTTGGATTAATGAGAAAACAAAACTTACCCCAGTAATATGAATGTTTCTGTGTTTAGATGCCATGTTACTTGCAAATACTTTCAAATGTCCTATTATGTCAATTCTGTTTCCCGGGGAAGCCTTTGCACAAGTGTCAAAACCTCCAAACCCACCCTTTACCATGCTTATCAATAAGATGAGTGAAAGAAGCACAACACAGGCTTGAAGACACACTGGGATGTGTAACTGTGGACAGTTCATTCCACAGTTCATCAGGAATTGTGTCGACAGTTGTGTGTTGCTTCATGACAGGGATTGTTCTTAGAGATGTGTCGTTAGGTGACGTCGTCATGGGAACATTAGAGAGTGCACTCCCACGAACCTGGATGTTCAGCCTACTACACACAGGCCATGTGGAACAGCCTCCTGCTCCTAGGCTACTGAGTGTCCCGAATCCTGTAGGCAACTGTAACATAGTGGCAATGGTGTACCTAAGCATGTCTGAACGAGAAAGTGACAGTAAAAATGCCGTATTAGAATCTTATGGGACCACTGTAGCGTATGTGATCCACTGTTGACAGAAACATCCATATGTATGCACGACTATGTCTTCATAAAGACACAGGCTGGAAAAAATAGGACCAAATGAGAACAGTTTGCTTATCAGAACAAAAAATGACTTTCCCCCCATTTCCACATTTCTACTATTTTTAGCAGCATTTACATAATAAATAAAAAATATAAAAAAATATACCCTTGAGAAATAGAAGAAATGAATGGATTTTGCCTAAATAAAATGTGGCAGCTGGAGGAGAGGGAGGGAGGGAGGGATGAAGAGGTGGTGCACAGGGCACAGTGAGGCAGAGGAACTTCTCAGTGTGCCACGATGGTAGATGCATGTCACTGTGCCTATGTCAAAACCGACGCAATATACCACACAAACAGTGAAGTCTAGTGTAAACCACGGACTCTAGCCAATAAGGAAATGTGAATATCGGTTCATCATCGTAACAAATGAGCATCTTGCATTACTGTGGTACATAACAGAAAACTCTAGGGGGAAAGCGGGGAGGGGGAGTACATGAGAACTGGACTTTCCATTGAATTTTATTGTACAGCTAAAACTGCTCTACAAAATAAAGGGAATTAATTTTTTTTACATGTGGAAGCTGCACCAAACCAACGCATGTAATCGTTTGAAACAAGATGTCCCTCCCTATTCTCATTCAGCACTAATGGTTTCTCTCTGCCATTGTTGTCAAAGAGCTCACGTAGAAAAACAGGGTATGCAGAAGCGGTGGTTCAGAGGGAACAGATTCGAAGCGCATGCAACCCGTGGCCTCACTGCCAGATCTCTTTTGTGAGTTAGTCTGCTTTCTGAAGGCAAGAAAAAAACCCAGGAGAAGCTTCCTGCAGCTCACTATCATTTGCGGCATCATGCTGAGGCCACAGGCGGATGGAAAGCCGGACTCCACACGCAGGAGAAGGAACACCAACAGTGCAGGGAGCAACACTCAGGAATAAAGTGGCTTCCTGGGAGAACAGACTCACCTGGGAAGGTCACGGTTAATTAAAATAATTTTGACTCTAGCAGAAACACGATGGGAGTTCTACGGGTGAGGTTCATGCTAAGGGTTTATGAGTTTCTTATTCCCACATAAGCAGGCTAATTTTGATCCTCAGCAGTAACAACAGCTACATCTGCATCTTTCTGCCCTTTACAAAGGAAAGGTGGGCTGATCTCAACAACTTTGCTGCTTAAAACTTCAGCCTGCTAACCTCGATGAGAAAAAAATGGAAGGTTCAATTTATCTTAAGCCTGTTCTTATTATTTGCTTTATTTGTGGGTCTCGTTCAACTTTATTTATCGATGAAATAGCATCATGTGAGATTCAAGGGAACTACCATCAGCAATGCTATCAACATCTCTTTTCTCATTTGTTCTCAAGGAGCTTCATTCAGTGTATTACTGAATCAGTTACTGAACGGAAGACTAACACAGCCTAGGCCCCAACCTCAGCTGCCATCCTCTCAGCTCAACTATGACAACCCTGACACAGAAGTGGATGTGAACAAGTTCTTCCAAAAGCTGAACCAGTCAAACAAGGCATCTGAGGCTACCAAATCAAGAAACTAGTACTTCTCTCAGTGTGCATGTCAAAGAGGAAGTCTAGATGTCCCATCATGTAACAACAATGACAAAACGTGTTTCCTAAAAATTGTTCAGGATCATCATGTTGAACTTTAAATGAATTTGAAATGCCCCCAGCCCCCGATATGTATTGGTATTTTGCCATAAGGAGTAACTACCTGTAGTCCTGTTTTGCTTCTTTGTCCCTCATTGACACGGTGCACCTAGAATAAAGAAGAAAACATTAAACACTGCAAGCAGCATCGACTAGCCTATATGCAGGAAGGGCTCCCCTACCAATAAAGGACACAGGCAAAATCAAACTCTGTGGCCTTGCATGGGAAAACCTTAAACAGATACATTCAAAAAATAATAAAGAAAGCAAAATGTATAGAATAATTTTTTTAAAAAGAAACAACTTCGATGTATCCAGCTTTCAGCCAGCTCAAACTTGGCGTTAGAGCTTTTTTTCAGTATTCTGCTTAAAGTATACAATCTTCAAAATTCTGAGTCAGAAAATTAAGGTCCAAGTTATCTGAACAAAAACAAGGCATCTCTACAACCAGGTCTTCATTCTGTTCCATCTCTAGTTTTAGCTGGGAGAGGTATGACAGATTATTAAAAGGAAGTAAAGATTCTTGCCACAAGGCAGGTAAACTGGAAGCAGAGAAGGGAAGGACCTACAACTAAGCCCTGGGGCACAGTCTGGGTCACTTCAAGTCTCCTAGCAGCCCTGGGGCATTTCATATCCCTGTAGGATACAGAACTTTTGTAATTTTGCTAATGAGGAAACCTAAGTGCCTCCTTCAAGGCCACATGGCTGGTCAGCTGCTGAGCCCAGCCCTCTAGCACCCTGCCTGGCTGGGGTCAGGATGCTCATCAATGTGAACTCACCCCAGCTTCTCATGAAATGAGCGCGTTTCGTTCAGAATTTCACCTCCATTCTCAAGTTCACTGATTTGCCTCTGAATTTCATAGTCTAGGAAAAACACACTAATTTAGCATCATATTTTGATTATACCTTTCATCCAGTCAAGCAGTAATTAAAAATAACCTTTCTCAATCTTTAAAAAAAAAAAATCAAGAAGATTGTTTATAATAATCCTTCCCTTATACGCTCTGTTTCCTTCTCACTGCTATCGCAGAATATTGGTGCTGGAAAGGGGCTTAGGAAGGCAGGCTCCCTCCGTGTTGAGACAACTCAGGTTCAGAGAGATTAAGCAACCGATGCAGACGACACGACGTGGCAGAAGCGGGTCTGGGCCCAATATCCAGGTCTGGGATTGCTGCCTACCAACGGTCCTTACCCTGGGAGCCCGGGATGGGCTTCAAAGGCTCTGGTACCCCCGAAATTATATACAAAGTATGGGTTGTGTGCATACATGCAGGTTTTGGAGAGAGGGTCCAGCATTTGCATTATCTTTTCAGAGAGACCCACAGCCCCGAGTGATTAAGAGCCACTAATCCATGCCATGCTTCCTCACCATCAAATGAATGAGGCTGTGGGAATCAAAACACAACCACAACTGCTAAGCTGCTGCTGCTTTTGTTTTTTTTTTTTTTTTTTTTTTTTTGAGATGGGGTCTCACTATGTTTCCCAGGCTGGTCTCAATCTCTTAGCCTCAAGCAATCCTCCTGCCTTGGCCTCTCAAAGTGCTGGGATTACAGGCATGAGCCACTGAGGCCGGCCTGCTAAGCCTCTTTATGAAAATAGCTTGAGCCTCTACCTCAACTCTCCCTCCCACCAACTACTCTCTCTTGCCTAAATCTAAACCCTTTTATCTGAGCTGCTAAGAGGCAGCAACACCAAAACGTGTCACTTATTGCTCCCCATCTCTCCCCAGCTCCAGTGATCTCTTTGGTTGACACGAGATGATGGCTAAAAGGTCCAACACAGGGAGGAAAAGGTGGTGGAAAAAATCACAGGCTTGGAGAATTGAGCCCACGATAGTAAAGCTTTGGTTCTTCTACTCTGAGTCAGACCACAGGGAGAATTCTCCCTCAGATGGGTCCTCCAAAGAGTTCTTCATAGGACAGGAGGTTAGGGACAGCCAAAAAAAAAAATGCCAGGGTCTCCTTCATAACTTGTGGATGACTCTATCTAAAATCTAGCTGCTGTTTTTTTTAGGTTAACATCACCACCTCTTAAAATAACCGGCCCCAGTACACTACTACCTACAGGGGGAGGTGGAATTTCCTCCATTTGTTCCAGGCTTCCGCCTCACCAACTTGGCTTATAAGGGTTTTCCCTGACTCAAACCTGTCATGGCTTATGGATTAAAGGAACATGGATTATGTCCCTTTCTGGAGGCAGAACAGTTTACCATCTTTAGTCTGCCTTCATATGGGAACCTACCCCTTCCCTCTCTGCTCCCATACGTTACTCCCCTGACCACTTTAATGCCTTTTTCCTGAAGACTTTGGCAACATATTCAGCTGTGCACTCTTGAAGGGGTACACTTCTAACTCCATTCCTCCCTCTTCCTCTCTAGATTGCTTTGGTTTTAAAAAATCTTTTTAGTCCTCCAAGGTCCTCCCCTCTAATTCACAGTTAGCAATATCTATGGGACTATCCAGATGTTTATAATGCTAAACTATTTTAATTATTATACATTTGTCATCAATGAAATATCCACAGTAGGTGCTCCAGAAAAATTACTACTCGGCTGCATGAGCACATAACCCATCAGTTTAAAAGACTATAAAAAGCAGGAAAACATATTGACCATTTAGTTCAAGCCATGGTCAATCTAAGATGAACAACAATGACTTTATAAATCTCAGGCCAGTCAGAAAGAAGGTAGTAAATGGTAAAACATAGCCATGATGTTTTGTGGATCCTCCAATAAAGAGGTGGAGCATAATTTCCTCTCAAGTCTGCTTTGAATTCAATCTATTTTTTTTCTTAGTCTCACTCTGTTGCCCAGGCTAGAGTGCAGTGGTGCGATCACAGCTCACTATGACCTCAAACTCCTGGGCTCAAGCGATCCTCCTGCCTCAGCTTCCTGAGTGGCTGGGACTACAGGTACACACTACTGTGCTTGGCTAAATTTTTAATTTTTTATAGAAATGGGTTGCTATGTTGCCAGGCTCACCTTGAACTCCTGGCCTCAAGCAATCTGCCCACGTGGCTTTCCAAAGTGCTGGGATTACAGGCATGAGCCACTGTGCCAGCCTCAATCTACTGTGAATAGAACATGTTGGAAGTGACACTGTGTGATTTCTAGAGCTTAGGACTCACTTCTGCCTTCATCCTCCTGAAATGCTCCTACTGCCTAAGAAGAAAGCCTAGGCTAGGCAAGTACATGAAGAAAGACCACATGGATGGAGAAGCCCAGCAGACATTGCTACCGAGACCCCAATGCGTGAGAAAGGTCACTGCGGACCCTTTGCCTCAGCTGGCCTGCCAGTGTCCCATAGCCATGTGAGTGACTGAGGCAGGACCAGCAGAACCACTACCTAATTCATGGAACTATGCAAACGAAAGTAGTTCTTGTGTAAGCCATTAAGTTTCTGGGTTGTTTGCTACACAGCAAGAAAGAAACAATAGGAAGAAGGACACAAGGAGTGGCAGCTGGCATTCACCTATGGCTTTGGCCAGGAACCTGATGCTGTTGAGATTCTTCACTTCCGTTCGAACGCCCAAAGGCTCCCCAGGGTGATGCACAGATATATTGGCATCCACTCTCAACTGGCCCTCTGGAAGGAGAGAAAAAAACAACTCCTTAGAAATTCTTTGAGGTGACATTGTGTTTTAAAGGCAGGGGGTGTCAAAGGAAGCAGCATCTAACTCTACCTGCTGTTTAGTTATAGCAGTCTTGACTTCAGAGAAGGCGCAGTTGGTTCTGAAGTACACCCCTGCTACCTCTGGCCACTTAAGAGGAGTTACAGACCGAAGGGATCTACGGTGTGTGCCTGTACATGTGAGTGTACACAGATTTCTCTTATACACAAATGGAAGAGAAGTTTTAGATACACCAGCTGGAAGATCTCATTTTTTTGTGCTAAGTAAGAAAACAAGACTATTAAAATGGAGATTGACTATGTAGTTTTCTACTGAAGTTTTTTTCAAAGTGTCAGAGCTGAGTTGGAGGAAAGGCCTCAAAAACGACTGATAACCCTACACTGCTCTCCAGTGGAATGTGGATTTCTAACAGTGACTCCAGGAGATTTAGAGAAGAGTCCTTGAGAATTTGCAGCTCAAGGGCAAGAGCTGAAACCTAGGCTTTCCCTCCTCCTCCTTCCTCCAGGTACTGTAATAATCTCTTCCTTCCATAAACATGACTCCAAATCCTTCCTGACTGCTCTAAGGATTTGCTAGAGCAGAAAGACAGCGCTGTTATGAAGTCGGGAGTCTGTGGTGGGACTCAGAGAGGCGCTCACCCCATGCTGGGAGGACCTTCCTGGACCCTCGAGGCCCCTCAGATTAGGAGCAGCAAGACCTAAAGAAGCAGGCAATGTGTGGGGAGAACTGAAAGGCTCTTGAGGAAGAGAGAGAGAACAATCCCAAGACAAATAGATGCAGGTAAGAAAGAATAACATTTGGCCCCTAGAAAGTAAAGCTCAGATCCTGTGTTCTCCAACTTCATTTACAGCATTTATAAGAGGACAAAGTGAGAAAACAAAATCCTGGATTTTATGTTCCTAGTTAAGTTTTTAAATTAAAAAGTAATCTGCCAAACCTGAGTGTCTGGATGGGCTGAATAAATTAATTTAATATTCCAAAGCAAAAGCATCTTAAAATAATAAAGTAGTGAAAATGAATTCCATGTCGAGAAAAGGAGATCCTTGGAACTGGTTCTCTGTCATTCTCCCAGTGCTGGGCTGTGGGGCATATACCAAGCTGGACATTGCTGGCTGCCTGCGGCTGACACCTTGCCACTCACCCTCAGAGAAAGGGAAGGGCTCGCCCAATTGCCACCCATGCTGACAGGGAAAAGATGCCTCTTAGCTCAGACAAGACTCTCTCTCCAGCACAGACTTCTCAACACTTTTACAAGAATTCTGTAGCCCCTTATTTGTAACCCCTTCTTTTGGCAAGTTGTGTGTATCTGCATCTCAGGAAGCCCCAACTATTCCTGACATCATGAGACTCTCGGTCTAGGCACCCTGAGGTCATCTTCAACTTCTCTGTTTTCTTTGCTCCTGATATCCTAACTGGCAACTAGCCCCTACCAGTCTGGAAGCCTCCAAATATCCCTGATGCCTTCCACTCCCTTTCCATTTCTATGGCTACCACCCTTGCCTGAGGTCTCCAAACTTCAGGCTTAGGTTATAAAATCACATCCTGACTCTTAACACAGTTCCCTTCTTGTCTGGGGACTGCAGTGTGGCTGTGACTTTCATCCTGCTACAATCTGGGTTCCCCATTCCTGCTGTTCACTCAAGGGCACAGACAGCTCCTACTGGATCATCTCAGCTCCTCTGCTTGGTGCTCTGCAGCTCTCATCGGGTTTTGGTCGACATGACCTGTATCTTCCCACTGCTCATTCCAGGAGAAAGCTCTCCTCCAAATCAGGGCAGCCTTCTGCATACACATCCCTGTCTGCTCCACCGGCACACCCCATCAGAGCTTCTGTCCCTCTCCTTGTCCCTCAACGTCTCACTTGTGTGTTACTACCTCCTCCTAGAAGCCCTCCTCAGCAAACTGGCCTGCACTGGTGGGTCCCTTAAACTATCAGAATACTCACAATCTATTCTACAGAAATCAGTATGTGACCATAGTCTACTGAGCATTGGCCTCTTCTTTAAGACCAGAATGGAAGGCCCCTGAGGACTGGCTGGATTCTAACCCCCTCTTGGCTTCTCAAGGGCATCACTCAGTTATCCCTTCTCTCCCATACCAGTCATGACTCTCGGCATTCCATCTGACATATACATATGCAATAGGATTTCTCATTAAATGAACAAACAGAACCCCAAAACCTATCTCTTGAACCCAGTTCTCACTCTATCAGTCACTCAGCTATCGTTTCTCTGGTTTCTTTTTCAGCAAAGCCTCTTAAACAAGTTTCGTTTGTTGCACACATTGTCTCCAGTATGTCACTTCCCATTTATTCCTAAACCTATGTCAGCCTGGCTTCTCTCCACATCCCTCTCAAAATGCCCTTGTCAGAGTCACCAACAATTTCATGGCTGCCACATCCAGTGGACACAGGACACACATCTTCACCTACTGGACACCTCAGCAGCATGTGACACACCAACCAATCCTCTCTTCTTGAAATGTCTTCCTAGCTCAGCTTCTGCCATCTTTTGCTCCCAATTTTCCTCCTCTGGACACTTTGTTTCCATTTCATTTGCTGATGCCTTCCTTCCCACCCAAGCCCAGAATCCTCTTCTTTATCTATACTCTCTGGGTAGGTGGATACACAGTTTTAAATACCACCTAGTGCTGATGATGCCTACATTTCTCTCTTTAGCCCAGACCCCTCTCAGCTCCACACTTGTAGCTCTGATATCTATTTGACACCTCCACTTGCACTTGAAGGTCTCACAGGCATCTCAGTTTCCAAAACAAAATCCTGATTTGGCCCTGCACAAAGACAGTCTCATCTCATCTTCCAACGTCAGTAAACAGCACCACCATCTAGCTCCTCCAACTGCCCTAAAGGTATTTTTGCTTCCTCCCTGTCTCTTACCTTCCACACCAGCCTATTTCTAAAAACCATCTTGTATGTACCTATCTCTCCATCTTCATCTTCACTGCCACCAGTGCCGTCCAAAACAGCATCATCTTCCATCTGAACTATTGCAAAAGCTTCTTAACTGGTCTCCTGGCTTCCACTCTTACCCATCTGAAATCCACTTCCCACAGAGCACCCAGAGTGCTTTCTAAAACATTAATCAGACTATGTCTTTCCCTTGCTTAAAAGTCTTTCAGTGATTACCACTGCACCTGGGTTGAGAGTTAAACTTCTTGCCATTATCTCTGATCTAGCCCTTGCCTGCCTTTACAGTGTCACCTGATGCCACTGCTCCTTTTGCTTCTGGCGCAGTGGCCTTGTGCTGCCTTGCTTACCCCAGGGCCCATTCCCAACTCCTTCTCACCTCAGGGCCTTAGCCTTAGCAATTTTCTGGAATGCTCATCTCCTGGCTCTATGCTGCCTGGGCCTTGAGTCATTCTTCAGGTTTTAAATAATTGTCACCTCCTCTGAGGGGCCTTTAAAAAACATTGTCACCTTCCGATGTTACTCTGTAGCACTGCACCCTGTTTATTTCCTTGAAGGATTTGTCGCTGTAATTATTTTATTTGTCACCCTTATAAGATCCATGTGGCAGGAACAATGTCTTGTGTGGAACCTAGAGCTGGGTCTGGCACTTGGTGACTGTTCAATAAATTAAATCTTATTGAGCGATGAATGCCAGAACTCTGGCATCTTCCCGAGCAATGAGTAAGCAGACTGGCTTCTGTCTCACAGTAGGTTTCCGGTAAATTCTACAGTTCTGTCTGAATAGGACTAATCTGCAGTTGGAATCCTCTGAAAGCCCCATTAAACTCAAAGGAAAACTTCCAAAGTGTGCTGAGCTCCATCGAACCAAATCGCAATACTTGGGAGACAACTTTTTTTGAACTCAGGGAACCATGAATTGGACCTCGCTTGCTTTTAAAAAATGAAAGCATCTTTCACAATTTAGAATTCTAATTTGGAAGAAGAATAAAAGCATGAGTTTCAGTCTTTCCCAGAGAAGACTACACTACATAAATACCTGAGAGGAATCATTTAGTATCCTGCCGTGTTGAAAGAGAGTTCACTAGCTTGGATTCAAATGCAGTATCAAACATTAACAAAAGATGTGCTATCCGGTGAAGACAAAATACCTTTTAAACAAATTAAGTTAAATTGCCTCAAGGGCACAAAAGCTTTACTAGTTAGGTTTACTTCAATGCATTCCGCACCACTGAGGGAGAGCCTTCATTCACATATCATGAAAATGTCATCAGGCTCAATTTCTATCTTCTAGAAGTAGAGATTTATAACAGCAAAACTAAAAAAACTATACCACTGAGCACTGTGATACAGTACAGTTTCATATTTTTCTCTAAAACACATTCACACAACAGAAATATAACATCAAGATAGAAAACTGTGTCTGCAAACAGCAGGGGCCCAAAGATGTGGTGGGGAAGGTCTGTTAAGCCATCTTGTTCTGATAGCTGAAAAATAACAAGGTTTGACCAAAAAAAAAGGTGACCAAATTTTATTGAACATATTTTACAAAGCTCATTCATCTAGATGAGTGCTAAGTCCATAAAAGTATTACTACTTATTATTGTTAATAAGAGCACCTAATATGTACCCAGCACAGGCTATTTTCCAGACCCTATCCTACGTTTTCTAGACGTTACATTCGTTCCCTACAATATAGCTTTAGTCAGAAGTCCCCAACCCAGGGGCCATGGACAGGTACTGGTCCGTGGCTTGTTAGGAACCGGGCTGCACAGCAGGAGGTGAGTGGTGGGCAAGAGTCAAGCTTCATCTGTTTTTACAGCTGCTTCTTACCGTGTGTATTACCCTCTGAGCTCTGCCTGCTGTCAGATCAGCCATGGCATTAGATTCTCATAGGAGCAAGAACCCTGTTGTGAATTGTGCATGAGAGGGACTAGGCTTTGTGCTCCTTACGAGAATCTATCATCTAATGATCTGTAACTGTCTCCCATCACCCCCAGATGGGACCATCTAGTTGCAGGAAAACCAGGTCAGGGCTCCCAGTGATTCTACATTATAGGGAGTTATATAATTACTTCATTACATATTACAATGTAATAATAAAGTGCACAATCAATGTAATGCACTTGAATCATCCTGTAAAACCCCCCCTTTGGCTTCCCAAGATTCTAAAATAATCCATGGAAAAACTGTCTTCCAATTTTTTAGCTTCCCCACAGCTAAAATGATTAGAGACTGTTGGTTTTGGTGACAAAGCCACTGAGCCATTCCAGAGGCATTTCAAACGTAACCTATTCAAACCGGAATTCTATGTTTTCTCCCACAAAGTCATTCCTCTCAGCCTGCTGCCCCACATCTATCAGATGGCCTTGATAACTTCCTTTCCTCTTTGGTTTCTTCTTTTCCCTTTCCCTACAAAATTATTTGGGGGCTTGTTTTATAAGTATGGAAAGGGAGGCTTGGAGAAATACAACATTTTGCCCAGGCACCTACAGCTAGAAGTTGCAGGACAGGATTCCAAGCCAGATCCGGGAGCTGGCAGCCCTTGGCACCCCACCTTGCTATCCTGCCTATCTGAAGTTGGCATCTGTGATGGTCATGACGGCCATGGCTGCCACTAGGAAGTGGTATGATGCTGTGCTTAGAGAAAGGGCTCCAGGACCCAGACACCCCTGGGCTCAAGTCCCAGCTGTGTCACTTCTTGTGAGCCCTGGGCAAATAACCCCACCTCTCTAAGCCTCAGTTTCCTCACCTGCAACAGGCAGACTCCACCACCTATTTCTCAGCAACGTTATAAAATTTAAATGAGATGATAAAGTAATTGTAAAATGCCTAGTGAACTGAAGAGTACATACTAATGTTCCAACCTGTAGATATTATTACCATTGAAACACTTAGAATGTCTACTTCCGTACACATTCAACTTAACAAACTATTAGTACTTTGGGCATCTCCTTGACAAGGGTCAAAGATTGTCCACTGAGAAGGAAATGACTTGGAATCTGGCTGAGCTGGTCTATGCTCATCAGCAAAACTATCAGGAACTCATTGAACTAGTCTAGAACCAATTAGGCTTCATTCCACAGCACCCTGGGTGTCCACTAGTCTTCAATGTCACCTCTTCAGGGTGGCCCTCAGCTCCTGAGCAGCAAGCTCCAAGGCCAACACAGTGTTCCTAAGGGGGTGGGGGGTGGGACAGAGGGATGGGCAAAGGAGAGGGGGCCGGGGCCGACGAAATGCTCACAGCACCAAGGAGCTGGCTCCTTGCAGACTCCAGGAGACCTCAGCTCCCACAGAACTTTAGAACAACCAAAGCTACTCAGCTGCTGTGGTCAAAGCTGTTGGATTTGTATTTCAAAGAAACAAAAAGTGTCACAACAAATGAGATTTAATGAACACTCTCAGCTGTCACTGACTGATGAGTTCTTGCCACTATGGTTTATCTCTCGGCAAGGACCCAGATGGGACTATTTCTCAGCTAACAGGTGGCCTATTTATGATCTCATAGGGTTGGTAGGAATCACAGTTATTTTGAAGAAGAATGGGATAATAAAAACTTTCTTAAAGCAATCAACACTTGGAACGTAAATGGATAACTATCCAACTTGCCCATATTTCATTTTTGTTCTGTGGATTAAAAAAAACAGTGGCATGAGCGATAAATCTCAAATTGAAAATTCTCTTACTCTAAAAGAGAGTATCATATCTATAAAGAAATTTGTAGGCAGCTAATCTTTCTGCCACTCAAACTCATGTGGCTGTATTTTTGCAGACTTTAGCTTAAAGATAAAAGCAAATAAGCAAGTTCTGTCCTCAGATTCAACATGTACCAAGGCTCGGATGTTGTAATTTGTTGCCTGTAACATCCTATGTGACAAATGTGGCATTACAAATCCAGAAGTCCCCCCGTAATGTGCAAATACAGTATGTGACATGCTAAGCTTGGTAAATAGTATTATCAACCAGCACGGAGATGAACATCTTCATCAACAACATTTCCGGGGCGCCTGCTGTGACCACTGAACCGAGCTACGGAAAAACGCAATTGTAGATTCAGAACCTGTATTTTGTCTCCTCTCCATCAAGAAGTGCTCTGAGGGTGGCAGAAGTTTTCAAAAAGTCCCAAGGAACAGAGAACAGGATAAAACGATGGCAGAGACTACCCTTTAGGGACTTACGCAAGAACAAAGCAGTACCAGGCCAGGGCAAAGGACACCTACAGCCACGAAGAAATTGAGTGTGACCAAAACCTGTGATCTTTATATGCAATTTGCAAATGTTTAAAATGTGTAGTCCGTTTGGTCCCAAGGGTGCAAGTGTTTCTTTTGTTTTAGTTTCCTCCTATATTTTACTCAACTTAATTAAGATTTTATCTCAGGTTAAAGTTTTCATAATCTTCGCTTATAGTCAATATAATTTGGCTTGAGCTGTATATGGATGAAAAATCTACAAAACACAAGAAACAGACCCAAAGGAAAAGAGGCAACTGACAATGAAGTGCTATCTATACGGAACTCACAAACTAAGAAGTGTTCTTGAGAAACAGTGTCTTCTTCCTAAGAAAGACTGAACTGTTCAAAGCCGTTATTTCATTAACGGTTTGGTGTCTCTACACTGTTATTGGTCGTATATTTGTATTTGAGTTGGAGCTCAGTAAAGAACCCGAGGAGAATTCTAAAGAAAAACCAAAACAGGATTACAAAAGACTGGGGGAAAAATGGCTGCAAACAACTTCAATATAACTGATGATGAAAAATAAAACTGAAGTCAAAGAAGTTCTAGGAGGCAAGAAGGGAGAGGGAAAGAAGAATGCTGCTGCTGTGGCTTCTACCTGCCATGTTCGCCTGGCTGGTCCCCAGGGCTTGAAGGATCAGCTGCAGCTCCCTGACAGCTGTTGCCGCCTCTTCTCCACAGGACAAGTCGGGCTCCAGGACCACCTCCAGAAGGCCCACTCCTACCAAAGATAGGCAGAGTCAGCCTCACTGCAGCTCGCCAATTTCACCAGCAGAAAAATCAGGCCTAAGTTTCAGGAAAACTCTGCCTTACTGATGGACTCTCAAAGTGGTTCTAGCCTCTGAATCATTCTTCCCTCCCACTTTTTTTGTTTTGGAGGTGTCATCTCGTTCTGTTGCCCAGACTGGAGTGCAGTGACAGGATCACAGCTCACTGCAGCTCTGAACTCCTGGGTTCAAGTGATCCTCCCACCTCTGAGGCTACAGGTGGATGGCACCACACCTGGCTGTTTTTAATTTGTTTTGGAGACTAGGTCTCGCTATGTTGCCCGGCCTCATCTCAAACTCTGCGTCAGTTGATCCTCTGACCTCAGTTTTCTGAGTCGTTGGCATTACAAATGTAAGCCACCACCGCTAGGCCCTACTTTTTGATTTTTAACTGTTTCAACCCTTTTAACGACCGCTTAAATATCCAACTGCTGGATCTGCGATTAGGTGGTTAAATTTGTGTAAATTCAGGGGTGAGTTATTAGCAAGCCTAACAGTGATCACAGTTCAAGCCATGCTCACTAATCACGTATGCCAATCCCAAGGCTGATATTGTGGTCTCCATCTGTCAGGCTCCTGTGACTGCTTTCTCAATTTGTTAAGGAAAACTCTGGTGGGAAAAAGAGGGGCCTGCAATCCAAGAAATGAAGTGGGAAGGAGAAGTAATGAAAACACTCCAAGCCTACCCGCCCTGTTCAAATCAATGAGCGTCTGAGATCTCAGGTCGTCGTGGAGGCTTTTGCCACTGTCTTGCTCCAACTGGATCTGCTTGACCCTCACCATCTTGGGGATCACCTGACCGCACTCCTTCCCTGCAGAGATGCCATATGTCAAGCTCCCATTCACAGCGATTGGGAGCCTGTGCTGGGTAATCTGGTAGCCTGCCTGCACACAAACATAGGGTACACACAGTCACTGGTCAACACATAAAAGCTAGGATCCAGTTTACTATCCCTTTTACAATGTCAGACAAAGATAGGCCTACTTAAAGCAAAAATGGTAACAAGAAAAAAAAAGGAAAAGGAGAAGAAAAATTAGTTGCTGCATAGCAGCCATCATTGAGCCTGGTCCCTTCTGCTCCTGCCGTCACTCCTTCACCTTCCCCAAATCCTCCACCCTCAATAAACACAAGAAACAACACGAATTCATCCCATCACCCTCACTAATGTGCTGTATTGGGGAATAACAATAATCTCATTGTCAGGGGCCCCTAAGAAAAGAATTTATTGTTTCCATCCAGCTCATTAGCCTAAACTCTGCATCTCATTACCGGGCTCCTGGCAGACCCTCCTTATTCCGAATGCTGGCTAAGCACTTTGCCATCTATTCTCCACAGGGCCAACAGCAGTTGCTAGTGTGTGTTTAAGCTTGTTTGGTTTCTGCTTTTTAAAGAAATCAATCATGGTAGCTGCCCTCCCTGACCCAACTTCCCTAGTTCCTCCAGCCAGAAAATGCTGTGACACTCACCCTCCGTTAACGGAAAGCACATAGTACTAAAGCACTGACGGATCTTGCAAGGATCCCTCACCAGCTTCTAAGTGGAAAGGAAGAATTACTTTCAAATGGACACATGTATCAATACACACTAAAGAGATGGCAGGTCAATGAGGGGAACTGAAGAAGAACAGAGAATAAGAGCAAAGGCATCGGCAGCACTTGCTAGGGCCCAGATGCTGCTCTCACTGTGTAACGCTCAGTTAATTCCACAACAACCCTAGAAGAGGAACAAGGCACGGAGGGATCAGGACCTTGCCCAAAGCCACATACAGAGCTAGTGAGCATCAGTGTCAGCGTCTGAATTCAGGTGGTCAGGCTCCAAGATCTGTGTCTTTCACTACTTGGCCAGCCAGCAGTTTAAGAACTTGAACAGCATCAGAAATACTGCTGTGTTTGTCAAAATACAGACTGGTTGGCCTGACCTCAAAGGTTTCTGATTCAGTAGGTTGAGGGTGGGGCCTGAGAATTTATGTTTCTGACCAGTTCCCAGAGATGATGATGTTAGTGCCCTGGGGACCACATTTTGAGAACTCTGTGAAAGGGTAACCCATTTTCTATGCTAAGACGGGAAATCTCAATTTGTAAAACTAAGCTCTGGTTAGCATTGATGGATAAAATAAAGGACGCCCAGTTATATCTGAATTTCAGATAAACAAGGAATGCTTTATTAGATAAATAGGTCTCATGAAACTTGGATTATCTGAACTATCTGGGCCAGAAAGACCAGAAAGCCACAGATGACCAAAACACCTCATTTTAGTCATATTATTACTAAATCTCCCACCTCAACCAAACTGTCACTCCTAAAAGATGAAGAAATGGAGTTTTAATTATTTCTGCCCCGTGAAACAGTGGGCTTGCTGAGAGGCTGAAGACCAGAGGGGAAAAGCAGCAGCCACTGAAGAATGCAGGTCTTACTTGGATTTTTTATTTAATTCTACTCATGCCCTCACCCATTAAAAAACAGCTTACCCCAATCTTCAGTTTAAGGAGAATGAGGTGAAGCAACATCATTACTGTTGTTTTTCCAAATCATATCAAAAGAAACATGATTTTGGGAAACCCACTCAACATTTCAGTTCTGTTACAGTTCAATAGTATGAAAAATTGGCTCTCATTCACATGGTGTGGCTTTAAGAAAAAAAAACTTTTTAATTTTCGGAAAAAAAGCGGGTCAATACAGCGTTTACTGCTCAGCCAATTACTGTTCTTGGTCCAGGATTCTGGTTCATGTTTCCGCTTACTATTGTCCACTTACTTGCTCCTTGTGAGATGACAGAAATGTCTCCAAAGGAGACGGCCCTATTATTGGGAACTTCAACTTAAAAGCCAGACACTCTCCCTCTTCCGACAGAGCTACAGTATGCATTTACTGTTGCATCAGCCAGAGGCTTAGCTTTTGTACTAACAGGCAATTAGCACCAAATACCACAGCCGGGCTGAGCCTGAGAACACTGACTTCTACTCCCTGTGCAATTATGAGCAAGCCACCAGAAGCATGAGGCAAGCAAGAAGTCAGCAATCAAGACAATTGCATCCAATCTAGTAAACATCGGGGGCACCTGCCTGCATCAGGACCGGGCAGAACTTCCCACTGGGATGGACACAAGTGCTGGCTGAAAACATGAGAGACACAGTCCCTTTTCCTCGCTCCAACCCCCCACAGCAGGGCTGGCTCAGCTCTGAGAACTTGTAGTGGGGTGGATCGCAAAGTGTACTTACAGGGAGGTCTGCATAGAAGTAGTGCTTCCTGTCAAACAAGGACTTCTTGTTTATGTGGCAGTTCAGAGCCAGGCCTGTCATCACCGCCGCTTCTACACACCTCCTGTTGAGAACCTATGGAAACACAACACACAGTTCCTCTCAGGACCGCAGGCTGAACAAATGCTTCTCCCACACACTGACATCCTCGCTGAATATGCAACTTGGCCCTTCAACAGGCATTATCTCTGGTTCTCTGGGTGGGCAGCTCCAGTTCACAAGCTGACTCTGCCTGAGACTCAGAGAAAGGATATAAAAAAGAAAATGCATGCAGCAGTGGGTCCCACTGGGCACTGAATGAACTGCCACATCGGGGACCCTTTCCCCCGATGCTTGGCATCAAAGCTAACAGGAAGAGTCCCAGAAAAGCTTAGCAGAGTGCTTACTACATAGAATAAATCTAATCTTACTTCCTCTACAAACAGAATAAGGGACCGGTCAGAATACACAAGAGGCCCTGATTCCTGGGAGAAGTTCTGATGAAGGGTTGCTTTACTTTGACAGAAAAAGAATGAACTTCTGAAAACAACAGGGCTATAGCCATTTTCTCAAGGACTAGGAAATGTGGCACAGCTGTTGCCTGGCTTTCTGTCCGTGCCAGGCCAACTCCCTAAATGTGGAACTCCTAAGGAGGGCCTGTGCCACACATCATGCTGGTGACTCTCCAGGAGTGCCTGGCATTCCAGTTCCTTCTGGGTCCCACCGTGCCCCTCTTACAGGAGTGAATGACTAAGAAATGGCGAGCATACCTCCCAGCACCAAAGGATGTGAACAGCTTTTAAGAACCCTGGGAGTTTGGAACTAGACAGACAACAAAAGACAATGTAGCCTAGGAGAAAGAGCATTCAGTTCTTGAGTCAGGTCTGAATCCCACTTCTGCTACATCTGTCACTAGGAGCCTCCGTTTCCTTGTGTCTAAAATTGAGATTTAAGATCTACTTTGCAGAATGGATAAAGTGATAGCTTTAAATAGTAAATAGTTTACTTTAAAGAGTAAATAGTTCATTTCCTTACTCTACTTTGGGAAAATTTTGGAAGATGTCGTGTTTGCAGATGAAATATATTTCTTTGTTTTACGAGGATATTTATGATGTTCTTTGGTATATTTAATATACTATTATTTCTATGGACGAGGCCTTCTAATGGAGCATTTCCACATTCAGCATTTTATTTCAGCCTCAGAGCAACCCTGTAAAATAAGGAATCTGTATTATTCCAATATTTCAGATTTAAAAAAAAAACAACACTAAGATCCAAAGAGTCTAAAACATTCGCCCAAATTCACAGAACTGGCAAGTGGTGAAGCTGCCTGTAAAGCCCACACATGCCCTGCTGGCCTAGAGGCGCCCACCAGAACTTCTGTGGTTCAGGGACTGGCTCTTTGGGCTGGGATGATGAGTGCTGACCAAACACACAGGTTTTAAAAAGAAATCTGTATAACAAAATGTAAGGGGCATTTCTACTTACTGCAATATACAGTCCCCAAAGAAAAACGAAACACATCTCCCTCCTAGTGACATCACACCCTTCTTTTTCAGGTCTCAGGTTATAAGGTGGAGCCATCTCACAGTTTATATTTGGAGTTCTTCATTCTGTGCCTAATAACGTCAGCTCTGCAGCAATAAAGGTTTTCAAGAAAAGATGTGTGGGGAACAGGAAGCTCTAATTATTGATGTTTTCACTTGCCTAATGTTTGGCATTTTACTGAGTGATTCTTACTGAGATACAAATATAGATGCTAATCCTGCCAAATCCAACCCTGATGATTTGGGTCCAGGCACACAGAACGTGAAGCTGGAGTCCTGACCCTGGGCTTTCCTCTTACTGGGGCCAGAATGTCCTGGCTCATAAACTGCTTGACTCCCTGGTCTACACCAGTTCTGCTTTATCATTCCCTCTGCTTTCCTAACCACTGCTTTTGCTCTCATTTCAAGCCACTTTGCCGCTGGGGCCAAGCTGCTTCCTCCCTAGGCATGAAGAGAACGCAGGTTATTTTGTTTATGTCTGAGCATGCATCTAGCCTCCCTGTGGGTGAAGAGTTGGGGGTAATCACAGATTCTCACTGTGTCCGTGTGCACACAAGTGCATGGGCACTTCATAAACCACCACTTCCCAAAGAAGAAGGAGGCAGCAAAACAACAAACATTACAGTGATACTAAATATGCTTTAATCTTTTTTTCATGATTTAGAAGGCATGAAGTACTTCAAGGTCAGAATTATAAGCATCAATCACCACATACTACAGCTGTACAGAGGGGCTAGTAAACAGAGAGTGCCAGGTAAAAGAATGCCAAGAAAAAAAGGAATGTCCTAGTATGTTAGTCAAGCTGTTTGTGACAGATGGAGGTCCAGGTCAGCATGTTCTGAGGATAGGATGCAGAATGGGAAAATTCAACTTGGGCTGTCTTCACTCCAAAAAAATTCTTAAATGTCTATAAAGCACTAAACTTTAGGGATACAGAGACAAATAGGACCCTATCTCTGCCCTCAATGAATCAGCAATGGTGACATGAACCTGCCAGCAACTGCAAACCCTTTTCAAGTTTGTCTTTTATACTAGGTTGATCCTGCTAAAAATGTAAATCTGTGGCATTCTGTTACCTGAAGTCCCTCAATGGCCCCTGATGTTCCCACGACATAGGCCAAGCTCTTAAATGATCAACCTCTTGCCTACATCTTCAATTTCATCTCCTACCGAGCACCCCACTCCCTGACACCTCTGGTCAAGTTCTCCTGTGCAAATCATGCTGATTTTCTGAGTCTCCCCATTCTTATTCCCTTCAAAATCCTGGTGAGATGTCACCACCTCTGTGAAACCTTCCTTGTTGTCCTTTCTGTGTACCTCTTCTGACTTCCTACACACTCCCATTGGTGCTTCTATCACAATGGATTGAATTTGTTCACATATATTTCCACACAATTGCAAGTTTCATGAGGATAGAAATTGTTCACCCTTGTATCCCTGGAGCTGAATACAGAACCTGAAAAATAGTGATGCTTAATTAATGTGTGTTGAACTCAAAGGAGGAGGGAGGGGATGGGGATCGATGGAAAGTCTCAGAGCGGCAGTGATACATACCCATCTCCCCTAAAATGTTACCTGCCACATGCTGGCCTTCAAACTTGTTTCTGGAAGTGCCCTGAAGTGACAACTGATTGTGTGTGATACAATCAAAGATTAACTTAAAAACTCAAAAGACTAACTTGTCTTGAAGAAAGTATGTTCCAGAATTTATTTGTAATTAAATGACTACAAAGGATCTCAGGGTTAGCCACAGCAGCTCTCGTTTGGAAGAAGGCAGCAATCTTTTGGTATTCATGCAGCACACCTGTCTCAGCTGGGCCTTCAGAGGGTTCTTTTTAGCTTAAGGAAGGGGCAGTGGTGAGTATTTAATGTGCACTGACACTGTGTCAGGAGGTGTGCCGCATGTCACACACACATGCCATTGAATCCTCTCATTCCGAGGGTAGATACTATTATGATTCTCATGTTATGTGAAGGGAAGCACAGAGATGATGCAGTTTGGCCAGGGTGACGCATAGAAGTGGCAGAGCCAGAAGTCAGACCCCAGAACCCAGGCTCTCAACCACTATATTCGATCTGAAATCTTACAAGATAAAAGCATGTTAGTTTTAGTTATCAAACCTACTAATACCAGGCTGTAACTAGAGAGCAGCACCTCAGCCCAAATTCCACTGTGCATCATTTAAGACTGATGCTATTTCTAGTGTGTTTCTTCTTGCCACTTTCTCCCTCTGTAGGTTTGTTTCCAGAAGATGTTGAGCTCCCAGAGGGCAAGCACTGTTTTTTTTCTTAACTAGATGAAAGAACTCAGTGTTCTTTCAGTGCAGTCTCTGGCATGTGGAAGACTTGGTGATGGGTAAGCCTCCATGTTTTCTCAACTAGCAGAAGATATTCTATTGCCAGACTTCAGAAACCCTGAGACACAGGTACTCATACAATGATTTATTAAATAAGAGGCTAATTCTTTTTTTTTTTTTTTTTTTGTCAATCAGTTTGAGCTTATGAGGTTAGCCTTGAACTGATGACCTCGCCTTCGTGAGCGCCATGACCTCTGGCGGGAGCCACTTTGGACCCCGAGGTTAATTCTTTTATTTAATCAGAAGACGAGAAAGCTGTGATGGGTAGAGGTAGGAGATGAGACAAATACACAGTGGATGGCCAACAAATTTTATGACTAGTAGATAGAGATAAGGCACATCATGGCCAGGAAAAAGATCCTGGGGTGGTGGGTGGCGGGTCTTTGACTTTGGCTTACTTGTAAGACTCAGTAGTGCTGCAATAATAACTTGTTTGAAACCTAAGATACATCCAGCTCATAGGGCACCATAAACAACTCAGAGTTTGCATGAGACCTCTAAGGGGACACAGCGAACCCAATTTGAGAAACAGGCTTCTAGTTTTAACATTTATTTAGCTAAACCCAACAAACATTCCCTGATCTCTGAGACCATCATTTAATGACAACTCCCAACACTTTCAAAAAATCACCAAGTTCTACACATTCTACTTTCTTAACATACCTTGATTTTTCCCCTCCTCCTCAGGCCTTCAGTTTTAATTCAGATCTTTGTTTAAACACCACCCGCTCCGACCAGGACTTCTGCCACTTACCACCTGGCCAGAAGGCTTCTCACCTCTATTTCCAGCCCTCTAATCTCCCTTCCACACCTCTCCTAGGGTGACTTTTTTGAAGGATAAATCTGTTCATCTAATTCCTCTGCTTAAAATCCTTTTTACTGCTCCCTAGTCCTACCAGGATAAAGTCCAAGTGCCTGGCAGGGGCTTCAATGCCCTTGGTAGTCCTAGCCCCAACCACCTCTCTAGCTTCCTCTTCCTCCATTTCCCCTGATCACCATGCTCCTGCAGCCAAGTGTGAACCATGCTTTCGTACAATCTGCTGCTTCTGCTGGGAATGGCCTGCTTCCTCATCTGCTTGAGCAAGACCTTAGCATCTGGCAAGACTCTCGGATGTCACCTCTTTTGTGACATCTTTCCCACCACTATTTCAGTCTAGGTCTTTCTTCCTTTTAGCTCCCCTGGCACTTGGAG